GTGAGTGAGTGCGGTGGAGCGGTTTGGACAGAAGCCAAACGACTGCTCGATCATAGGATAATAGACCCTGTCTCTAGTACGTGCGGCAGATTCGTCGTCGCTTTTGAGAGGGAGGGAATTCTTGAAGAGGTTCTCGAAGGAGAACGACGAGATGACGAGAATCCGAAGAGGCGAGCAAAGGAGGGAAGTCTCCCTAAGTGGAGGGGATGCGGCCAACAGTCACATTATATGCAGCCTGTTGATTCATTGGACACGGCAGTGACAACCGCGCTGTATACAGCATCACACGTTGCAGCCGAGGTGATTGAGCTCGCTTGATACATAATCTCGTTGAAGTTTCCTCGATTGGCGTTATCGGCGTTCCGTGACTAAAGGTGCAGTCTCGATCTCGTAGACTGAAAGGGATTGAACGTGCCGTTGGACTACGTGAAACAAGTAAGTCTTTATTGTCATTCGAAGATGTTTAAACATTTGTCGTCTCCAAAAGACGATCGCAGTTGCCTAGCAAGGCGTAGTCACGTGTCAAAGCTGAGGACGACTCCATTCAGTTTTGTGCCGCGTTAGACTTATTCCTCGTAAATCCACGAGATCGTGGATTTATCGCAGTCAAAACAAGATAAACAAAAATAGGGGGCAATGGGTTTAAGTTCAATCAGTTTATACGATACTATTCTACAGCCTATGTAAATATTTGTTTCTGAAGGAAACAGTTCACTAACAAGGGAGCGATCAGCGTTACTTACAAAACAATTCATACGATGAAAATCCACAATCTTCGAAGTTATTTATCGCGCGATGTAAGATTCGTCGAGTATGGAAATGCGCAATTGTAAATGTAATGGTGACGGTTGTCGAGGTCGTTTCATTCACAGATCTTCCGAAAGAGGGTAGAAAAATCAACGTTGCAGAACGTTGTTTTTGATCTGCAATGCAACGTGGTACGATACGTTATCAGTGCACACTGATTGACGAAGACACGTGAAAAAAGAATTCGGTCGGAAAGAAATTAAAGGTCAACAGATACGAGGAGGCGGTGACGGTCCATTGGCGGTTGTATATCCAATGATATATAAAGAACGCTACTCGTCCGCGTCTTTTGTCGGAGCAACGCGATGGACCATGGGACGCTGAACCGATAAATGACCTCCCATTACTCGCGCCACTACATCAATACGATACGGTCGGATATGAGCGGATAGACGACAAAACGCGCGACTGAACCTTCGTCACCGAAGCCCTCTATTTGTTACGCACTTGGATCTGTGGCGTCCAAATTTTTACGGTCGTTCGAAACTTTCCAGTATCGCGGAAATATTCGTCACGTAGACGGTTGCTGCAAGCAAGAAATAGATCATCGTACAGCAAGAAAATTATGCTATTATTCATTAATTTGCTTCTTGAGCGAGCAAGAAATTTGAATAATTAACATTAATAATTATTCAATTATTAATAATTGTGATTATTTCTTGCTCTTCTGTTTTTTTTTCCATCTTTCTCTTTCTTGGAAGTGAATCTTGACGCAGTGAAATCTTGACGTCAACAAGAATTAATACAATAATGCAAAAATATTTTACTAAAGATCAACGTGAAATTCATAAGAATCAGAAGAAGAATCTGAATGACTTAGAATAAAATTTTATTTATTTCTATGGAACAAAGACTCTTTGATATAAAGATGCGTAGTATCGAAAAAATTACAGAGAACACGATCAGAAGTGATGAGATTAAAAATGTGCAAAATTAGTAAGTAAAAATTGAATGTGAGAAACAGGGAGTAAAAATAAATTAATAATGATAAATTATTGACGCAGAATACGTTGAAGTTCATTCGAATGGTCGTAAACATTTTTAATATTGCGACTGTTCCGCAACATTTTATATTATAAAAACATTCAGATAACGAAATTATCTAAAGCCAGCGTAGCATCAGCAAAACTGTAGTTGCATTTTTCCGCGCGAAATGTACCATGTGTATCGCCGTATGTTAGTATAATTTACCATTTTTATGAGCGTATCTTGCTACGCTATGCGCATCCTTGTTCTCATTGCTTATCCAATTGCTTATACAAAAACAATTTGCCATTTATATTTTCTGCGTAACTTTTTTATTTTACCAATTTCTTACCTTTCTTTTTATTTTACCATTTTTTACCAATTTCTGGACAAAATTGTAACTTCTATTAAAATATTTATGAGAAAATCGTAATTTTATATTTGAAAGTGCCTCGATGCCTCTTCAAGAAAAATAATAGCACACTCTTCGTGATTAACGCGATCGATCGATCGATCGGTCGATTGTTTGTTCGATTTTACCTGAGTTATGTAAACTCATTAAATACGGATTATATCGTATTGTTTAATACCAGAAGAGCAGTGAATGGATTATGCATTGTGTTCGTTACGATGAAATCGTCGTTTAGACAAGATCGAGCATCCAACAAATTAATAAAGGCAAAGTGGGTCAAAGCCATGTTGCCGAAAAACGGCACGTGGTGAAACCCAGTGAAACAAGAGAGTTGCTCAAAACCTTCTAAGAAACGGAAATATATATTGAGAGATTGCTCAATAGTTATTATAATTGATATTCTTATTTTGATCATTATTGATAGGATTTTCTTTGCGATTTTCTAACTTCTTCAGATAAGAAATGAAAGATTATTTTTCTCTTAGAGCAACTTTTCGAAGTATTAATATTATAATTAACTTCATTGCGTCAGATTAAAGTTTAAAATTCTCTAGAATCGATCCATGATTCGCTTTGACTTTACGCTAATCTAACTTTTTATAATAAAACTATCAGCAAGACACCAATTATATTATATTCAGTCTAAGTTTTAAATCAACAGTTAATAAATATTATTGAACAATACTTAATTATTAATTTTAGGATCATTTTTGCACGTTTGTGAAATTTCACATGTAACCATCTAATATTATATTTTAATATATATAGTAATATTATTATAAGAATTGAAAAGTACTTATAAGAAGCAATGCAAAATATAAAAAATCTGATTTTCCAAGAGAACGAAAAAAGTTGTCCAATTTCAAATTATTTACAAAATTTGTTTC